CAAGTTGAACACTAAATAACACAGAGTTAAATAAACAATAAATACTGTACTCCCTAAACTACAAAATGCACCCAAATTTTAAGAAGATACCTCTGTACCTTCAGACTGGAAGATGCATGCAGATTTCAGGCAGCATTTTCAAGAGAAAATATAAAATACTGTATAAATAAAAGAAAAATTATTCGGGTGTAAACCTTCTAAAAAAAACCTGAAATTTTTTTAAAACAGAACTATATGCAGTACTGTCAGGGTAATTTATGAGAAAAAAACTGCTGACATTGTGAATGCTAGGACATATATTCACTTGTTTCAGATTAGTTTCTGTATTCTTCCATTTCTTGTAATTGATATCTATAGCTATACTAGTCCCCCTTACTTTGAAATAAAAATAATTTGAAAAACATGAGACAGCTGCTTATGCCATTTAGTGTATAATTATATTCAAACAAGGGCAAAATATCATTCTATATGGGTGGAAAATTTTCCTTACCATGCACAGAGAGTGTCTGAGGTACGCTACATTTCAAGAACTAAACAGTTACCAGTTATGGCACAAAACATTTTAAAACAATACACAATATATTCGACACTTCCTCCCCTTCCACCCTCTTTTTCACTTGTCATGAAAGAATTTTCTATGGACACTGTTCATTCTATGAATTAAAACAAAATTAAAGGTGGCAGGTCATAATAATAAAATTACATACATTTACGAGGCGCATCCCAAAAGTAAGTTTCCCACTCGTCCCACAGCTAGCAAACCTTATATTGCGCAAAGCGACTGTGCGTACGTGATAGAGCAATGACGTAGCATGGCGCATGCACTAACGGTACTTCCCGCGTTCTCACAGTAGCATCGTTGCAGCTGTTGAAGATGGAGGTTCTTATTCCAGCTCCCGCCGACTGTGAAGTGCGGTCAGTGATAGCGCTAGGCCGCACACGACTCGACGGACAGCAAGTCTCCTGCAGGAGTTCAGCTGGGAGGTGTTTAATCATTCACCCTACAGCCCGGACCTCGCTCCCAGTGATTTCCATCTTTTCCTACACCTCAAGAAATTCCTGTCCGGTCAGCGTCAGCGTTTTGAGAATGACAGAGAGGCGGAGATGGGTGTCACACAGTGGTTCCAATCCCAGGCGGCAGACTTCTACGACACAGGTATTCAAAAGTTGGTCCCACGGTATGACAAATGTCTCAATTCCGGTGGCGAATATGTTGAAAAATAGCTGGACACTTGCTGTATCTGTTGCAATAAATATTTCCATGAAATTGTGTTTTGTTTCTGTAAACGGCCCCAGGGAAACTTACTTTAAGGACGAGCCTCGTATGAACATCATTCTCAGCTGACATCTGCTTCTTTTCAGATCCGACAGTGCACATTTCTTGAAAGACTCGAAAAAGATTCTACATTATGCGAAGTTGTACATGGGTAGTTACTGAAAGATTCATGTGTAATATATTCTTATTCTTCACTGGAACTTACATTATGTCTGAAATACATTTTATTTTAGATCTTTGTTATAAAGGCACAGAAGCTAAAACAAAAAAGTAAACATTTTAACATGTATGTACAATGTGTGTTGTTATCAAAATGGATACAAGATTTAAAATAAAATTCCAAAAAATGACTTAGTTATTATTACAGTTCAACTACTGCGGTAAAACAAATGGGACACAAGCATAACGCTGCAATGAAGACAATAACTGGAAGCCAAATTGTTTATCACTTAGGCCCGGTATTTCTGACACACAAGAACAGCAACTGTTCAACTGAAGCAGTAATATTATGTAACTGCACTAACAAAGAAAACATTTGAGCATCATAATATTAGTGCAGCTGCAAGAGTGACAGTACTCCAAGGGTTACATAAACCTTAAACCTAATGAACAGTGACTGGGGAATACAATATAAAATTCTAAACTTCTGAATTTAATTTTAACAAAAAGAATTATATTTAAAAATTATAAGCTGAAAGCTTCTCTTTCTTGAGTTTGAAGCAAGTATAATTTAATGCATGATAATTTTATTTAAACATCTATGTATCAAGTATGAAAAACTGCATACAATTATCAAAATTAACACATCACACTTTTTAAAGAATATGCTTTCCTGTATAGGCCTCATGTTTTAGGTTAATTCTGAAGTACTGTTGTCCCATTTGTTACTGCCAGGATGGACACAGCCACCCAATTAAGATGTTACCAATTCATTAGCATATTTAATACCTTAAAAATATGTATGTACATCAACATTAAATTAAAAGTGTACTTGGAAAATAAAATTCAACAGAAAACTGAACAGAATTAAAAGAAAGTTTCCTTCATGTGGAATGTTTGTATTAGCAGCCACAATCAAGATTTAGGAGATTCACAAGTGGTAAGATTGCATTCATCAGCAGAAAATCAGTGATTACATTATAATATCATTATAAATTATTATTGTCCCTACGAATATGTAAATGACATTGTCAAAATGTGATGTAAATGTTATTATACTGCAGTATGAATAAATGAAAACTGAATCAATTCATCAGAAATCACTGTCATGGTAATCCAACGTACAGCAAATATTACATACAAGTCTCTTCAAAAGAAAGGCGAGCGAGTATATGGGGAACACCATCGAGGAAAATTCATCTTTCTGATGTGCAACAAGTTGTCTCTGAGTACGATGGTTATGGTGGAAAAATAGATTAAAACAAATTAACACGTAAAAGTCCAATTTTTATCACCACCTTCACAAGTGCATCACAGAAATGTTGGCACTCCACGACACTTGATAAACAACACCACGTCATTTTGAAAACAAGATACAAAGATTACGGATGTGAAAGAAAAGGGGTATGGCAAGTCAGCTTTATGAAAACCTCTTTTAAGAAATATGAATATCAGAAATGGGGTTTGTAACAATATACTCGAAACTACATGTAGCTCCTCCGTAAGTTTAGAACATTCAAGCCAATTAGAAATAAAAACCATGATGTATAATGTTTCAGTTAGAAAAGCACACAGTAATACCAAATGCAGGTAGCACGTAGCAAACATTTAGAAATTCGTGTGAGCAAAGCAACTCACAATGCATCATCATATTATAATGAGGGTACTCACTGCTAACATGGCAAGCTGACGCCACTCACAGCACTTGCTCAAACACGGCCATCCTTCTGCGTTTTCCGACATAATGTTAATATAATGTGCCAAGCACACGAAGCAAAATTTTTGTATTTTAAAAGCACCCTTGATTCTTACCAAGTCATATGTGGCCACAGAGGTTGCATACTGCAACGTAAAGCAGAAGACATCATATATACTGAACTATTTGTCACAGTCAATTTCCCTGGCATTTCAAAGACATCTCATGTAAGTCTTTGATGGCTCTCAAACAACGGCTATGAATCTTGAAAGCATGTAAATATATTACAAACCTGATGTTTCCATCATACACAAAAATGTTTATCACAGGCACATCTCCTCTTGTCTCCAGTAGGCAACACCATCTGAAAGAAAATTTAAAGCTTCTTTTTATCAGTGCTCAAACTACGTAACTATGGACTGGTACGATTGTAGCGTGTTTTCATTCATAGACTGACTTATACAGCATTATGCGATAAAATTAAAAAAACATACTGAAAAAATAGGTTTCTCCCATAGAAGGCCACCATCTGCATATATTATTTGAAGTAAGGAAGAATTGCTAGAGAAATAGAAGGACTTTTTACTGTACGTACTTACAAAAATATAAATAAAACTGGCTGTAGTAATTATCACGGAATTCACAACATACAAAACTGATCTGACATTATTCTCCTCAAGTTAACTTCATACACAGGTAAAATCACTGGGTACCATCATTATAGATTTTGACATAATATTCTGCGTTCATCAAATACAGCAGAAAATATGGGAAACGCAATTCATTCTTCAGTTAGAGTTATACGATGGTACTCACCTATCTGCAGTAGACAGTTCACTTGAGTCATCCTGAAATATCAGCAGCCGAAGACCGCTTGTTCCTGCTTGACGATGCCCAGGTACAACGAACAAGAACTAGTTTTAACAACTCACCAGAGATGGCACTGTGGTGCTTTTCTCCCTCTGTGCTATCCATGGGTAACAGACAAGCTGGAGGGCTCCGAAGATCACAATTAAACCAGCATCGTCCCTTTCTATGCTCCTCTAAAATGTGTACATTAAAATGTTGCTGTACCTAGACAGAGGACAAATACTGTTTCCCCGCAGGAGCAGGTCGGGGTGCAGCCTGACTCGGGGAATCTGTGCGGTTCTCAAAAAATGCTGCCATATCTCTGATACAAAACGAAGGTGAAGTCTGGTGACCATGGCAATCTGCCGACGATCTCCTCCTTCGACCGTCATTATTAACCCTATCCTCTGGTGAACGCGCCGGAATGGAGGCAGGACGCCTGTCAGCATCTCCAAACTTCCCTGTGGCAAAGAACAATTACTCTACACATGGTCATTTAACAATGTTATACGAGATACAGAAATTACTTAGCCTGAAATGCGACTAGAGCATGATTCAATATAGCAAACTGGAAAGGTTAGCTAGCTGGTAGAATATTTAGCAACTGTAGACTCTACGAAAAGTATCAGAAGAATTAAAGGAATAATTACTCAAAAGCTTGGTTATGTTTGTTATTTAATGTTACTGTATCAATTGCTGAGGTTAGTCAGCATTAAACAGAATGCTAACATTATCACATATACTGAACATGAATGGATTTTGGAAGAAGTTGTAGCATAATTTGAAATATTATTTTTGTTTCTGGCTGAAATGACTGATGGAAAGTCCAAAATATTCAATTAGGGCAGACAGTGCGCAACTGAAATCACAACTGGGCTAATGTCTACACAGGGAGAGAGGCATGCTAACTCCGAGTCAACCAATCCCGTAAGATGAAAATAACTAGGCAAGGGAGTCATGGCCTGTTTCAAGGCAATATCCAAGCATTCATGTGGTTATTAAGGAAAACCACGTACTAAAATAAACTTTGTTATAAAAGTTTTATGTTCTGTGGTCTGTTCCTATCAAACAGTTGAGATATACAGCTTTTCTGAAGCAAACGATTCGTGGGATACCATATAAAGGTACAAATGATTGCATACGTTCCAAGACATTGCAAGGAACACGTCAGGAATTTAAGACCTGTATTTGAGTTCATGTAACCTAATAATTTACGTAAAGAATATGTGGCAAGTTTCTGCAATCAGAGCTATAAGGTTAAATGAATCCTAAAATGCAAAATAACAAAAGTGAATCGTTTTAGTTCTTATGTGCACTGCAGAGTCTCTGCTGGTATACAGTTTGAAATCTGCAGTCAACACGTACAAACTCACCTCCTGAAGACAACCGTATCTCCACAGCAGGATTCTCCTGAGAGCCTTCAAATTTGCCAGTACTTCTCTTTCGCATCACATGCTTATCAGCTGACAACGCTAACCTTTCACTGACAGCTGCTGTTCTTAATGAGACATGTTGTTCAACTTCTTGTTCTGTCTCAGTATTTGAGAACTGTCGCTTTGTTTCCATTGCATTCTCTTTAGGACCTCTCATGACGTACGGTTTACAGTGATCCTGCGACTGGTTTTGACATACTGACCTACAAATTGGTCTGTCTGCATCATTAATAACAGGATTTGAAGTTGGTCCCATGCAGACTATCATGCGATCTGAACCAAGTCTTTGTCTCACAGTGACACAGGTAATAGGCGACTTTTCAGGAATTGTAGAGGAACCATTGAATCTTTGTTTATCGCTTGTAGATGAACGACGGTGATGTACATTTTCAACCTCCACACTACCAAGTTTTGATTGCCTGTCCAGCTGTTCAAGGCTTGATGTATTATCATAACTAAGTTTACCTGAAAGTTCACAGTCAGTGTCTTTCGGGCTTACACTTCTCCTTGCAAACCTCCTTTCTTTGGTTTTTTCCAGGGTTCCAGAGAGCAGTTCAGTACCTTGATGAGACTGCGTCATAATTTCTCTCTCTCTTTCATCTCCTGTACACCGAAAACTATTGCTACGCACTCGATCACTTCCAGAAATGGAGGAATGGGACATGTCTGTAGACTCATCTGTTGGACTTGACACAGTTTTTCCCGCCTTCTGTTTTAACCGCTGTAAGATCTCATCTCGTTCGCCACGAAAACTCTCCGAACGATATTTCTCCCTAAGGAACAACCGCCTCTCCTCCTTGTAGCGTTCTATCCGTTCTCTTCTCTGCGGATCATCAAGGCCTATGGCTGCAATAGAAATTGGTTTCTCCATTGTAACACCAGCCATTTCAGAAGCACTCTTATGTTTCTCACCATCATTCTTCCCCAAGAGATCTCCATGCTCCCCTGTATCATTGATATCTGGTGAAGTTTGTACACGCACTAACTGGCCAGGGTCTTCACTACTGGAACTAAGAAATTGGCCTTCATCTAATGACACACTCAAGGCAGTTGAATTAGCAAGCTTGTTCCTCGCCGCCTTTGCAAGCCTTGCTCGAACACACGGTGGTAATGCTGTGGATGAATTGCCATGTGAACTGGGATCTGAACGACGTGACAGTTTAGGAGTAACTGATGTGAAACCAGACTCTTTTCGAGACATATTTGGACTCACGGAGATGAAGGTTTGATTGGGTTTGGTATCCAAGGAAGTATCTGAAACAGTGATGGAATGAGAGTCCAGCTTTTGATTTAATGGTGAAGTAACGGAGCTGAAATTCATGCCCAAGTTTTCTGTGGTTTCTTGGCTAGGGAAACTGAACTGCGTATGAACTTTTGTGGAACAGAAGGAATGGTCATCAAG